ACAACTATTATGGTTTTGGGAGTATGGGATGGACAAGGAGAGCAAGAGAGTGGAGAGGAAAGAGAATAGAGGAAAGAGATCAACAAGAGTCATGTTTTGGAGCTAAGGATGACAGGGAAATACAGAAGGTAAAGGTTGTTGAATAAGAAATATGTAAATATCAGAAATACGTACAACTCACAAGATCACAGATTTTCAGACATTAGTAAATCAGGAAGCTAAGAGTTCAGATTAAACTTAGTGAAACTAGACCAGCTGAAGATATCAAAGTGCTACCTTGAAAACTGTATCCCAGCAGTAGCATAAATATTTTAGGCAGTTTTAGGTGATTTTAAACAGGTTTATCCATTCACAACATATTTTTCTATGAAAGTGGTTTCTTTCTTTCTTTCTTTCTTTTTTTTTTTAAGTGATGAACCGAATACTTTTTCAACATGCCAAGTGAAATTCAGCAAAAAATGCATTTAGATTTTTTGTGTCTGTCAGCACAAAGCACCAGAACTATGCAAACATTCATTGCTCATAATTTGTTAACGTCTGATGGTACCGTCATAAAAAACACACATTGCATCTAGCAGAAAGATACCTTATCTTCATTACAAATGATTTTGTATCTATTTTTATGGAGATGAAGAAACCAGTGTGATGTTTGGGTTTAAAAATATAATGTTGTAGTCAAGGTAATCAGGGACTAGAACTTGGTTGCCCTTACTAAAGCACTTACTCCTACTGCTTTATAAACTGTATTATTAGTAGATAGTCTATCTTACTATTGACTACTATGTGTTTTATTGTATGCATTTGAAGAAGAACCAAAAAGGGAAGGGGAAGGAAATCATTACTGTGGTCAAGGAAAGTACTAGATTTGTTAAAATATCGAGTTCTTGATGATGGGAAATATATGCCAGTGTTAATAGAATAAGAGAGAGATTTCCAAAAATGTAGTACAGGAAACATCCAGCATCTTAGACCTGACAATCCATTACGTATTTTCACTGTGGGATTTTGTAAGATTAATTATTTGAGGAACAAATACCAAAAAGTTCGATAGCAAATGCTTTTAAATGAAGTACAAATCTGATTCTGCTCACTACTTTGCTATTATGGCTGTCTAGACACATGCACTGAATCAGTAATCTGCCATATCCAATTTTTTTTTTCAACTCTGAACATACACCAGAACTGGATCTTTGAAGTTGTTAATTGAATTATTTTCTCGATGAGACAGATGATTTATTGATTTGTCTTGAATCACTGTTCTCAGACATTATACCTAATATGAATGCCTACATGCCAGAAACAATTTTCAGTATTTGCTTCTCTTACGCAATCTTCATACACTGTTTATGAGTAACGACTCTTCGTAAATGTTTTGCTGTGCTGTTTCTTTCCAATTTAGGAAAATGAAAAGCTTGAGCATAGCTGGTGCTCATTCCCTAATATTCTGTGCCATTCTGAGGTTAGAATTACGTACAGAATCCTACTGTAATAGAGGATTTTGTTTAATTTCATACCTATATGGCATAGTGTGTCTTCATTCTAAACATTTTTAATTTGGATTACCTCATCTCTCCAAAATAATACTGCATGTTTTATCAGTTTAAACTTTATTAAAGTTTAAACTTTATTAAAGTTTATAACAATACTTACGAGCTTCATTTTTTGCCTGTGGCAACTGATAGGAAAAGTTGCTTTTGTATGTTTTGACAGCATTTTTTATTTTTAGTGGAGTCATAAGGTTTAAGTGTAATAAATATCTGTGACTCAGTTTTTATTAAATTTGTGAACAAATTTTTTTTTTTCAATGAAGTGCATTCAATCTCATAGTTTTGTATTTAGCCATTTAAAAGTCACGTATGTTGTTTAAACTGGTGGTATTCAATGGACAAATGCTTAAAAAGAATGGTTAATTTATGAATAGCCCTGAACTGATTTGTTGTCTGGCACAAATTAGTCCTGAGTTACATATTTCTATTTTTTTTTGGTTGTTGTCTTACCTTTCTCATGTATCTGCTTTTTATTTCTTATTATACAGTACATGCATTGCATTTAAATATCCTACATCACTGTATGTCATAGGATATTTATGTCTCTCCGTTATTTTAAAAGACTGAAGACATTAGATTTTAAGACATCAAATAGTCAATGTTATGTTTTCAAAACTTTGAAGTGTTTCTTTTTCTGTTCACTGCTTTATGCTAAACATATTATGTGCTTCCCTTTGAAATGCCAATTTTGTAACCATTTAAGCCTGCTATATTACAGTTAATGATGAAAATGTACAAGAAGAAAAAGGAAAATCTCTCTATAAAACAATTATCCCCTTCCACTTCAGCATTTTTATTTTATAAGAAATACTAGATTATCTTCTATACATACTTAAATAATGATTTCCAGACTTTCTTCTTCGTATGAAATACCATTCCAGTTATCTATTACTGACTAGTGAGTTTAAGATGATTTGTCTGAATAAAACCATTAATGTTTCTTTTCTCTTCACTGGATCTATTAACTACTGGGGAAATTACTGAAAAGCCTTTTTTTCCGCAAGGCTTTTAAGAGGGACAATGAAAAGCTCATTTTGTTTAGCAGTGCTTTACATTTGGGAGTTGTTGATTTTGGTATATCTTTATTTGAAGGACTTCTAGCACTGTTTGTAATTTTGAATGTTAAAACTGCTGTTAGTATGTATAGTCACATGTAAATAACAGCCCAAAACTTGTAAATTATTCTTTTAAAACATAAACAGATACTGTAAGCATCCAATAAATATCTATCTTGAGCAGATAGAGCAGTTTAAAATGAAAGTCCCTATTCTTCTAAATGTATGTACAGCAAGAGTGCAGTCCTTTTTTACGTGTAACACTTACATATGATATAAATTGGCCAAACGTATACTTAAACCCACAGTAAGCATCAAATAATGCAATTTTACCTAGGGAGGAAAGGTATTTTTGGGTTCTGACAGAGCATCCTTACATCTTCCATGTTCTTGCCATTGTTCGTGGACAGAATGAACTTGTCATGAGAAATTATACATTATGGAGGATAAAGCTTATCTAAAATCTGTTGTGTGGTAACCACATTTTGTGTCTCATGCTCACTATGATGAGATTTCTATCCATACATTTGTCACGTTCAGTACAAAAGCTGTTTGCCAGGCACAAATCAGTTCATGAAGTTTTCCTTCAAGTGACTTATGCTAAATTATTTTCTAGAGGAAAAGTCAGGAGTTGGACTTTTGATATTCCAGCATTCCATACTTAAGCGTAAAACAGGCATATGCAAAGGTTTGGTGTTTTTTTTTTTAAGGGAGGTCTTATGTTTCAAAATGTCACATCCAGAACACTCTTTAGTACTCTGTTCTTTGCATGATGTTTAGATGCTGAAGTACGGTTTTTAAAGGTCTATAAGAATTAAAGGGCAGTAGAATTTCTTGTTATAACACTTGAAAAAAAGGACGAGCTTCTGTGTCTTGTAAATAAAGCCATAGTAAGACATACTTTGTTTATTCAAAATATGTTGATTGTGCTGATCAGTGTAGCAGGTTTGATTTGTACTTGGAACTGGTGAGAGTTCTCTTGCAAAAGCCTGTAATATGCATGCACCAGCAGTATAGTACAAAAAGTTAGTATTGCAGAAAGGCAAACACATAAGGAAGTTGAAAACATGCAATACAGAAAGAAGTAGTTTTACGCCATTCCCAAAGATAAATTTTACAGTTCAATTAAATACGCTCTGTTCAGGTCTTTGTTAGACTTCTAGAAATTTTCTAGCCTAAAGTTAAAGTAATTGAGAAGTCTAAAACAGATCTTCCTGAGACAACAGGAAGCATTTAAGATTTCTTTATTAAAACAGGTATATATGTAAATATTTCAAGTATTAAAAAGAGATGCCGTGACACCCATTTTAATGGATAAATAACCTCAAGAATTGTGTTAGTTTCCCTCGCTTTCAGTAATATAAAGAATACTTACGTAATACTCTTAAATATAATAAGTGGGATTAAAATGAAAAAGACACTTCAAAATATTCAGTAGACAAAAAAATACTGTTTTACCCAAAACAGAGGCAGAAGAGCAGGGAAAGAATCACTCCCTCCCTCTCATCTTCTGGAGGCCATCAGGGTCTTCAGGAAACTGTGTAGAGTGGAAAAGCCTTGTCACTGCAGGCACTGTGATCTCAAAATTATAATTAGTTCACAAACCAGACATTTTCTCTCTATCTGATGCAGTGTTTAGCTACATGTTTAATATAGCCATGTACAGCCAGATGTGCAAGGAAGATGCACCATTTTTTTTATTTTCAGTAACTTTAGGTTTTGTTAAGGAACCGGTACGAAGATTATCTTAAATAGAAAGCATGCTGATGCGTACAGTATTTTACCTGAAGCTGGTAGAATACATTGCAATATTTTAGGTATTCTTTTCGCTTTCATTTTTTTTTTCTTCTAGGTTTATTCATACTGCTAATCATCTTTAGAAGGATTTGATAAGGTATATGCTAATTCCAGTAGGAAATTGGTGAAGCTCCTAGATATCTGTGAATATTCATAGTGAATGTAATTTCTGCATGGCAAAAGTGGACACTATAAATTCGATCACCAAACAACTTATATAAGTTTCGTAATCCGATTACATCTGTCACAGAAGAGTCTTAATAAAGAGTTTCTCATCCTTGGGAAGAAATAATCTTTGTCATTTCTGAAGCATCTTTCAAGGGACTGATGTTGCCTAATATTAAATATAACTGATAGGTCTTCTCTTTCCGAGAATTTCATCTGAAACAATTTCAGTAGAGGAGAAGCACATGAAAATTAGGTCCCTAGAAACTCAGGATTGTATACTGCTGTTGTCATGGTTAGTAATAAATTGAAACAGGATTAAATTAAACTTTCTAAAATGTTAATGCTTCAATAGGTTTATATAGCTTGTTTTACTGAAACAGTTAACATATTTGTGTATTACTTTTTTTTTTTTTTTTTTTTTTTTTTTTTACAGATGCTCCAACGTTTCTGTCAAATCAAACTGTGTATTTCTCTTGGGAAGGCAATCCCATCAATATAACATGTGAAGTACTAGCAAATCCATCTGCCTCAGTTCAGTGGAGAAAAGGAAAATTAGTTCTACCAGTAAAGAATACAACACATCTGAAGACCTACAGTGCAGGAAGAAAGCTGATTCTAGAGGTAAGGCTTAAAATGGAAATCAGTTCAGTGAAATTAGCTAATTAATTTCTTCCTCAGTGTGGCATCATTGCAAGTATTATACTGTGTGTGTAAAGGTAAGATTTGCAATCTAATAAGTAAAGCTCTTCAAAACAAAACAAAAAAAAGGTGAACTGATTTATCTCCACATTTCTTGTGAGCAGTTAGGAAATAAACCTAATTTACATAGCTTATATTTAGGATTTGCTGGCTGAATGTAATTTGCATTTATGGCAAGTAAATAATGGCATAAGTATAAAATTAAACCATCAGGTTGAAATTTAAAAATTAAGTGACATAAAGGAATATGCTTGGCATATAGAGAACTATGTATTTGGCTTCAGTCATGACTGTGAAGGAAGGTAAAGTGGTAAAAGACTGCAGTTGATTTGGTGGTCGCAGAGGCACTGGAAAACAAAGAACTATGTTCCTTTCTTTTACGTTAAATGTACACTTAGGAAAATAAAACCCAAGAAAGGCAGAAGACAAAGAATGAACTTTAATTTTCCAGCTACTCTATTATCTTGAATAAACAATGAACTGCTGAACAGTAATGCATGGCAAGCCATGGTCCTTAAATATTTCATAGAAGAGTGTCTGTAACCATTATCTGCATTTGTAGTCTCACCTGTTACTGTGACTAGATATTCTCTCCTCACTGAATGTGAGAAGTGTTGAGGAAATTAGGTTTCTCGGTTGCCATAAAAAAATAGTTCAGAAGCTATAGGATTAATCCTATAGAGGGGAGATGTACATCAGATCCCAGGTGAGTGATGTATGGTGTACTGAAATAAAGTCTTTCTAAAGTCCAACCAATGAACTTCTTGAAATTAACTATATTATTTTGTTGTTGCTTTCAGAAAAAGCATTACTCGTAATAGAAATGCCTAATTTTCCATGAGAAGTTAAGTGATTGTCTCAAGGGAAATTGGGGCAGAGGAGAAAGACAGAATGTGCATCATTATGTAATACAATGTCAGAAGAACATAATGACACCAAATTTTAAAATAAATGACAAGCTGACATGCATATATGTTGATAACTATTCATTTGTCTGATGAAAAATAGTCTTTGGTATCAAATTGTATTCTGCTTTGTGGAGTCCTTACAGAAACTAACTGCAAGTTTTCAGATCTACATTGTGTTGTGGGAAGAAGAAAGCAAGGAAATATTCAGCCATTCTAATAACTGATTCTTTGATTTGCCTGTGACGGCATAGGTAGCTGAGTTTACTCGGGTTATCTGAGTCTTGGTAACCATGCATGGTATGTACTTACCTCATCGCATGTGGGGTACATCATATTAACATTAATCTCTCCTAATGACTTTTAAAAGTATTCTGGAAGCAGTCTGTTAGTTATTTTGATTTAACTGATAATGTCATCAGCGTAACCTTAGCAATTCTGGGGAAAAATAAAATGACAGGTGACAGGGCGAGGGGGAATGGCTTCAAGTTGCGCTAGGGTAAGTTTAGGTTGGATATTAGGAAAAACTTCTTTACAGAAAGGTTTGTTAAGAGCTGGAATAGGCTCCCCAGGGAGGTGGTTGAGTCATCATCCCTGGATGTGTTTAAAAACCATTTGGATGTGGCACTCAGGGACACAATTTAGTGGTGGGTTGTTAGAGTTAGGGCAGTATGGTTACATTGTGGTAGGACTTGATGATCCTTAAGGTCTTTTCCAACCTGAGCAATTATATGATTCTGTGATTCTATGACATTAACTGATGTAATTTAGGCATGAAGTTTTGGCTACCTGATTCGAAAATTAAATTGTACGGAGAAAAGAGGCAGTTAGAAACTTCACATTTCCAAAGTCACAGCTTTCCATGAAATAATCTCTACAGTTCCCTTAAAGAAAATTTTGGACTGTCACTGAAATCTGTTCATTTATATAGATTGGCACTTAATCCACCCTTTGGTGCTATTTTGGCATATCAATACAGACTTATATGGCATATCAAAAATATTATTGAACCTCCAGTTAACTACAAAGAAGTCAAGTTTACAAAGATTTTATGATACAGTTTGTCTTCCATTTTTCTTCTTTTACTCCTCCCTGGCAACTTGTAGGTGTGGAAACCCTTCCTTTTCCATCTTTTGCTCAGGGTTTTGCTAATTAAAAAAAAAGTTATATATATATATATAGAAGTATATATATAAATATCTTCCTTCAGGTGGGGAACTCTGGTAACTTTTACTAACAATTTGTGCACAGGATGTAAAAATGAAGATGCTACGACAACACAGTCCTTATTGTCCACTATATTGTTGTTAAGCATGTATGTAAATTAACAGTTGAATTACAAGTTCTCTGTTCTTCGTAAGCCTTGAACAGACATTGTATATTTAAAAAGACATAGTCTTACCCTTGTTTGAAGTTGATCTTTAGAGCTCTTAACTTAAAGGAAATCTTTCAAGAGTCTTTATTTAACAGCACAAATTATTCTTTACATCCTATAGTTTTTTGAGTTCTTTTCCAGTTTTCTATCACCTGAACAGTTGGATGGGCTGCATTTCCAATAAGACCCTAACTTCCTGTGATATCCATTACCTTTTCTGTCTCACATCCATATTAACCTGAGTTTATAGTTGTCACATACTTGTATCTTCTTTTTTTCTTACTGAATGTCTAGTATGTTGTGAATCTTGTAAACAGTAAGCAGTAAAATATGATCCTTGCAGTGTATGTAGGAATCAGCGATTTCAGACCTATCATTGCTTAGTTCAGTCCAATACAAGCAAATATTATCTATGTGAACAAACGTGCTGTTTATTAGATGTTTTTCTTTTTTGTTCAGAAGTGAAATTATAAAACTGAATAATGTTTCCATTTTTCATTATTTAGTTTCCACATTTCTTTTTGAAAAGAGGGAGTTTTACTTGAAAAATGATTAATTTAGATCTGTATTTTGTGGAATATACTAGATAGGGTAAGGTAAGAACACATCTCAATATTGATTACACAGAACATGTTTGCATTTCTGATATTTTAAAAGAAATATACTTGATTAAAAAGTAATATTTACAAATTGTATTCATTTTAAAGATTGCTCCTACATCTGACAGTGATTTTGGACAGTATAATTGTACAGCTACAAACAGAATAGGAACAAGATATCAGGAGTACACACTCGGTCTAGCTGGTAAGTTATAACTGTTCATTTAAGTTCATTTAAACCTTTTTTCCATTCTCATCACAATACACTTCAAGACTTTTCTTTGTTTATTTTATTCCAATAGACTGCTTACAGTTAATTTTAATGCTCTAAAATTAGAGTAGCAGTACAATGTAAAATAAGCCAGATTCCTCAGAGTATGAATCTTCTTTAGACTGAATTTTAAGCCCCTCTGAAAATTGAAATCTAGTAAAAACAAGGGCAGATTAGGAAAGACTTTTTCCTTTTTCTTGCCTGTATTTTCTTGAGAAATCAAGGATGTCAAAAAAGTTCAGGGAAGACTTATTGTCATTTTAGACAGTATCACCGGTTGACAATATTTAGACACCGGTCGTGAGTGGTGTTCCCCAGGGGTCGGTGCTGGGGCCTGTCCTCTTCAATATCTTTATTGATGACTTCGATGAGGGCATCGAGTGCACCCTCAGTAAATTCGCAGATGACACCAAATTGGCTGGAAGTGTGGATCTGCCTGGGGGTAGCGAGGCCCTACAGAGGGATCTGGACAGGCTGGAGAGCTGGGCTGAAGCCAATGGGATGAGTTTCAACAAGGCCAAATGCCGGGTCCTGCACTTCGGCCACAGCAACCCCAGGCGACGCTACAGGCTTGGGGCGGTGTGGCTGGAGGACTGCGTAGAGGAAATGGACCTGGGGGTATTGATTGATGCTCGGCTGAATATGAGCCGACAGTGTGCCCAGGTGGCCAAGAAGGCCAATGGCATCCTGGCTTGCATCAGAAACGGTGTTACAAGCAGGAGCAGAGAGGTGATTGTTCCCCTGTATTCAGCACTGGTGAGGCCGCACCTCGAGTACTGTGTCCAGTTTTGGGCCCCTCACTGCAAGAAAGATATTGAGGCCCTGGAACGTGTTCAAAGGAGGGCAACAAAGCTGGTGAGGGGTCTGGAACACAGGCCATATGAGGAGAGGCTGAAGGAGCTGGGAATGTTCAGCCTGGAGAAGAGGAGGCTCAGGGGAGACCTCATTGCTCTCTATAACTTCCTGAAGGGAGGTTGCAGTGAGCTGGGGGTCGGCCTCTTCTCTCGTGTCATTAGTGATAGGACCGGGGGAATGGCTTCAAGCTACGGCAGGGGAGATTCAGGCTGGACATGAGGAAGTATTACTTTTCAGAAAGGGTGGTCAGGCACTGGAACGGACTGCCCAGGGAGGTGGTGGAGTCACCGACCCTGGGGGTGTTCAAGGAAAGGCTGGATGTTGTGTTGAGGGACATGGTTTAGTAGGAGCTATTGGGAATAGGTGAACGGTTGGACTGGGTGATCTTTTAGGTCTTTTCCAACCTTGGTGATTCTATGATTCTATGATTCTATGATTTGCAGTTCTAGTTATTTAAAAGCAGAATTTGACCTAGAATGATAGATTGGATTAATTTAAGCTCAAAAATATTCTAGAACCAGTTAGAGAGTTTCTGAATATTTTTAGGTCCATCTATCATTGTTCAGAGAAATACAAAAATATTACTGTATATTTGTGTTTTTTGCCAGAATTAGCTGTTAACTGAGAGTAAATGAGAGCTTCTTAACTTTTCTTCCAGTGTTATTTTGTTGTGATATGGACCAACGCTTGTTCAGCAAGCTTTGAGGTCTCCCAACATGTTGATCTACATTCTAAGTGATGCAAATTGTTACAGTTTCAATAATCTATGGAGTTACAATGTGGTTTGTAATTGTAACAGAATTTCAACCAACACAAATGTTTTACATCCCTTGTGATGCATTATCAATCATTTTCTGCATGGATCTTTCAGGTCATACTACTCTGCTGACTGACAGTTACACTTGAAGGGTAGAGATAGAGATAAGGATTAGAGCCTTTCCAGCCTTTTTTTTTCCTTTTTTTTTTTTAAATTTTTTTACAATCTTTATTGTTTCAGCTGTAACTTCTGGTTATATTTTTTTAAATAAGAAAATAAATTATTTAGACCCATTCTAGCAGGACCTTTTTGGGTGCATTGCTGAAATGTGCATGTCTAAATATAGGGAGTCTCTCTTATACTACCTAGTATTTTAATTTTTTTAATACTGCTCAATAGGGTAATTATCTTCTTTTCATTTCTTAGGAGTTATAAAAAGCAGTTGTTTATTAAATTTCTTAGATATAAGCAATCACATATTTGGAATTTATTTCCATTATCTCTAAGGAAATAGTTACTAGCACATCATTTACCATGAATGCTACACTTTTTGTCTTTTGATGGTCAAAATGACTGAGCTTCCTCAAATAGGGAAATACATTTTTTCTTTTAAGAAACAGCAGATTTTGATGTGGCAAGATTTGTGTCATCCAGGAGATCCATTCCCCTTTTGAGAACATTTTTTCAGTTGCTCTATTGCAAATCTGATCATCCTTTGATAGCTACATATTACTAATGAAAATATACTACCAGTTCCTTTTGCATGTAAATATCCTTTGTCTCAACTAAAGTCTAATTTTGTACAGTAAATTGTTTATATTCTGCCTTACAAAACTCTCTCCCATTTAAGGACAGTCACATTCTAACCCATACTCAAAATCTTTTTTGCGTATGTGTACGAGAAAAGAATTTCCAGAAGAGAACAGGTTGTAGAGTCTTCGTTCATGATCGTTTAGCTATTTTGTCCCATTTATTTCAGTAGACCTATTTGAAAACTGGAGTTTCTATAAAAAAGGCTAGAGTTAGGACTGTAACAGTTCATCAGTACTACACATGGCTTTAAATGTATAAAATGAATTATTCCTGTAATGTTCACAAGTGAAGTAGTAAGAGAAAAGCTCTAACTATGATCGATTCTGTCATACTTTAAGAAGTAGGCTCAGCCCTCTGAAAACTCAGGGCATGATTTTGTAAATATTAATGACTGACATAGGATTTGCAGAGCTACATTAAATTCATCAAACTAGAAAATTGCACCTAACCCCCTAACTTCAGTCAGGTTACATCTATTTCTCTTCAACCTTGTTTTCTCTTTGAGTCAACACATGCATCTCTTGATTGAGCACCAGCATTTCCTCTATCTATCCTGGTGCACTAAGTGCTACATTGGCCTCTGGAGTATCATCTCTAAGGTTTGATACATGCAGGGATTCACTGGAAGAGAAAAGCAGTAAAAGGGCCATATGAAATCTGCTTAGGGTAGTTTCTCAGTTCTTCTCAGAAACAGAAAGTATGCCAATGGAACTTTCTTAAAGCCGTGAACAAAGTTGTTGGGAAATGTTAGGAAAATTCCCTCTGATGTCTTAGCTCCTGGGACAAAAGAAAATGATAAAATGATGCAGTTGTGCCAATGGGAACAAAGGCAGTCAGATTCTGCTATTGCTTTGCATGGGCTTTTTTTCATAAAGATGTGTATACATACGATAGCATCTCTGTAAATATTCTTTAAGTATTAAATGATTCCTAGATTTGCAAAACAGTAACAGTAACAGTGATACTACGTGATGATTTTAGCTATTTATTTCCTGCTTTTATAAATAATTGATCTTAATACAAAACAATTTTCATCATTAATTGAAAAGTAACATGTTATTTTGATTATGCATTTTATTTCAGCTAAGTCTCACAGGAGAGCCCCTGGAAATGTAAATGAGAGCAAATAACTGTCATTTTCAAATAGTTCTAGTTTTCAAACAGCTTACTATTCTCTATTTCTACAGCAATTCGTTTAAGACTTTTCAGTCACTTCTACAGAAGATTTATCAGCTCTTTAGAAAATTATTTATTGAAGTTATTAACAGCGGTAAATTAATACATATTTAATGAAACTAACAGATAAACAACTATGGGAAGTTACTGTGTTAAGCATTAGCTCTATATGGACATTCATTTCATATGAAATGAAATAGAAAATAGAATAAACACATATTTTGTAGAAATTATTGTGAACACCTACCCTTAATATATCATTTTGGTGTAATATTTGTATGACGTTTGAGGGTTTCAGGACTCCAGTATTCTAGGTACTACTTACAGTAGCGTAATTTTCTTCCTAATTTTCCTACATCTACTGTTTTACTCCAGTAAATTAGGAAATCTTAATGACTGATATTTCACATGTTAAAAAGCCTATAAAATATTCATGCATTTAAATATAGCCTGGATTTCCATTGGCTTTGATTATAAGTGCTAATGCTAACGTGTAATGTACTTTTACAGTGGATCTGTCAGGGAAAAATAATTACTATTTCTAGGCGGGAAATGTTACTAAGCAAAGTATCCTGCTACAGTAAATTTTACAAATCATGATCATTTTACAAAATTGCTTTCTCTTAAAATCCTTCTGGAATGACTTGTTGAATGTTTTGTTCCATTTTTCTGCTTTGGTTGGTTTTCAGCAGATTCAAACTGCTTTTTTTCGTTATTGTTATTTAATTAAATGCTGGCTGAAAAGCAATCATATGGCACAATACTGTTATCTTTATTTCTTTTCCCCTCCTCAAGAAATTAGGCTTATTATTGACAGAAGAATATTTCTTTCACAATTTACACTTGCCCCTATGCCATTTTGTATGACAGAGGAACTGTGCCTGTTCACTCTAATTTATACAAAGCTGCTAAATTAGCCAGAACTTCAGATATTGTCATTTAAATCTTTCATGACAATTGAACATATTCAGGGCTTCACAGTGAAAGGTTCTGACCATTACTTGCAAAGTGCTGAGAATCTTCAGTGCTTATTGAAGTCCTATTTAGGTATGTTCAAGCACCTGAGTGGTGGGGATCAACTCCAAAAGAGTGACATACTCTTTCTTATTGCTTAAGCATTTAAATTTCTTTCTTAGTAAGTATAAAATACAAAAAGCGCCACAGTCTTTTTCATTTATTGCCACTGCAAATGAATTACCTCACATCACATCCACAACTTTTATTTTAGAAATCTGCTTATACTCTGTTTTTTCTCCACGACAGGCTTAGTCTATGACAAGCCAGGTGAGCTTGACAGATTGTCCCAATGGCTTTCAAAGCCTGAGGTGAGCACAGATATTCCTAGATTTACCCAGATATAGTTTAGTCATAGTTAATGTGAATTGTCAGTGTTTAGGGAGATGGTATAACAAGCAAAGCATATTTCATTTCTGTCATGATCTCAGTATTGTTATTTCAAATGCATGGGAAAGATAGTAATTGAACTTCACAGAAGTCCTTTAACTTGTTTGTTGTTTTTTTTTTTTAGTCACTTCCTGTTCAAGATATGATAAGGTTGACCCATAAGTGACAAAAACTACAGCATCAAATTTAAAAGTTTACTTATCTGAATTTTTGATGCTAGCACGTTCGGTCTGGTTAATGGATGTTGCTCCTTGTTTCTCCATATATTCCTGTTTTCACACAGGCAAAATAAAATCAAAGAAGTAGAACTTTATTTTCCCTGGAAAATTACGTAACAAAAAAGCTGTTCTGTGCCAGAACAGTGCTTTTAGATCTTACTGACATTTTTTTTAGGATTGCTGTTTTTTTGTTTTGTTTTGTTTTGTTTTTGTTTGTTTGTTTTTCTTTGGTTGTTATTTGTTTGGTTTTTGCATAAATTGTACCTTGCTGCTGCCTAAAGCCCATTTATTTTCATAAAATATAGACAGATCGCAAATGCAGATCTCAGTCCTATAACTTGCCATGCACGTCTTCTGTAGTAGCATCAACTAAGGTATTTTACTAGAAAAAGCACCATAATATTTTCAATAAGCATGGAGTGAAACTGTTAATAAACAATGTGGTGGGTGGGTTTTTCTATTTTTTTGCTTTGTGTGCATGTATTTTATTTTTATTTACTATTTATGTATTTATTTGCTAGCTGTGGTCCAGTTTTCTAATCCATTCCTTATTTTCAAGAACCCTCAGCGATTTGATTAAATAAATCTGTTGTAGCTGTCACCAGTGAAAGGCATCAAGGCAGTACTCCTCATCTCTTTCCCTGCAGTGGTCCTGATACGTTCAGTATTTAGACATAATTACTTTCTCCGAGTTATACAACTGTAAGCTGCAGAACTGTATGTAGTAGGAACATGCTGACAGGAGATAAGGAGAAAAGAACTAACTGGAAGATAATTCCTGACCTCACAACATACTTCCGCAACCTACTCCCACGCCATTACTTCTTTCTTCCATTTTTACTGCTAAACTCTCAGATGGAAAATTATTTTCTTCCACAGAACTATCAAAGAAATAGCTTGAAAAAAAATCTTTGGTGATAAAGATTTGGTCATTCCTTAAATGTGTTGGATAAACCATAATAGACTTGAAATAGTATTTGCATGGCTGTGGAGATAAATACATACTTATAATTGTATGTGTATTTTTTTTTATTTTTTTACTTGGAACTAAACCAAGTCTACTTAATTTAGGCCAATGGATCACAAAGTTCATTTGTGCTAACCTGCTTTATGCGCTGAATACAAAACGTATTAAGTGCAACTTTACACGTAATGCTATGGGGTCTTTTTGTTTTATTTTTTTAATTAATACTTTAACATCATACATGAGCTTATTTTTTCTGCAGTATATTTTCTACTAGAGCTTATATAGAGCTTATAACAGAGTATGAAAAACTAATCACTGCCTAGCTAAACTCTTAAAAGTTTTGTTGGTTAGTTTGGCTTTAAGGGGAAAAAGAACAGCAAGCACCACGTGTTCTGCCCTTCCACATGCAGACTAAAGCATATACAAGCAGTCTTGCAGATTATTCTTTATTTGTGCTAATCATTGAGACAGAGCCCCACAATTGTAAAAGAATATCATGGCGATGCTCCAAATAATTTCAACTGATGTGACATACAGTTCAAATGCTGAAGTGTAGATCAGGACCAGAGGGCTGTTTACTTTGCATGATGAAACTTATGCTCAGTATAGAACTACCAAATTGGATTCAGTTCATCATGCTGCTGATGATCTTTGGGAAAAAGCTGCAATTGTACATAGTCTGAAAGAGATAGTAGGTATTTCGTTCTATCCCAACAGAGCTGCTATTACTTGTTCGCTATTTTGGCTAGGAATTTGTCTCCTTTTCTGTTTTCTTCTAGTGATTCTTTACTGAAAATAAGATGCTGATACACTTCAACTTTGAAAATCACATGAATATTACCTACACATATGTGGGTAGCCTGAATCATGAATGCATATCTGAAATGGTATTGTGGATGCATTTCACAATGAGTTCGAAACATACTGCATTATGCTAATTATGCCAAATATTTTATTAGATTTTCTCTGGAGCTTCAGTTATTGCCTATTTCGAAATGCAGCCATATCTTCATATGGCATAAATCATACATGAATCTGCATTGGAAAACATGAAGTTTCTTTAAGGATGTCTGCTTCCCAATGCCATACTTCAGACGTTTAATCATATTCAGACATAAATACAGGGAAAAGAGATTTCCTTAACATGTTGAAATTCAAGCAGAGTGGATATACAAATAAAGTACGTTTGCTTCACATCATTGACTGAAAAATTGTTTCGATCTAAACTGAAATACCAGTGAATTGACTCATAAAAAGATCGTACAGAAACTAACATGAAACTAATCTCAGTGAAATTAAATATTCACTCAACCTTATAAAAAATAATTTATTTCTATTTTCAATTCTTTTAACAACAGAAAAGGAAACAAAAATTTTTAGGAACTATTTGTAACAGTATTGGTATCCAGAGCAGCTTCTAGCTCATAATTAAATGTTAAGGCCATTCATCTTCTTTACTGGAAAGCCATATTCATCTTCCCATATGGTTGGTATCTGTATGTCTCATACAGTACTGTGTCGCTTCATTTTGCTATTCTGGGCTGCTTAACTCAGATACTAATGCTGGCTTTTTGCTGCTTCTGTGAGAACAGGACAAGAGGAGTGTGTCCACGGGATGGTTGTTAAGTTAAGTGTGCTAGCAGGAACAAAACTTAGTGTTCTTAGCTGAAGGACAATCTGGAGGAGAGAAGTCACATTCTAGTATTAATTCTTATCCTCTGAATTTGAGATCAGTGCTTATTTAGCATGCAACTCGTATAGCTCATTCTTCTGTATGAAAAAAAAAAAACATGGTTTTTGAACATGCTTTCCTTTTCTTGAAAAACAAACTTTTGATCAATTTTGGTTTAAATTGTGGATGTCTTGATTATCTAAGCAAAGCATCCTATTAGAAAAGATTCAAAACCCAGTTAACTGTTCTCCTAGACACACAGAATACTGTGTTACATTCTGCCATGCCCTGACTGTGAATATTGAATTCCTTTATGCACAATAATACAACTTCCATAAGAAAAGTGGACTTTTCCTGCAACATCCTATATCTGGGTGGTAGGAAAGTTTCCTGGAATACAGAAATGTCTGGGGGTTTGAATCCCTCAAGATGACATTTGTATTCTGCCCAAATTTTAAATTTCGTGGAGCTATTTAGTTGTGTCCACATAAATAAAACTATGTTGTTTTTAGCCCAACAAACACCAAGCACTGGAAGTTTCAGACCTATTTTTAGAAATGTTAATTGTAGGAATGCTAAGAGGTACGATTCAGGCAGTCAGCTCTGCAAGCGTTACAGAATTTTTCTGGGAAAAAAATAGGTACCTGACTGTTAAAATGTTGGATAAATTCACCCCTATATAGTGTCTTTGCCAAGCGTCCTTTTCATGAGAATTCATGGATGAATGTCTTCTAAGGCCCGTTCTTGAGTATTTTATAACAATTTCTGGCTCATTTTCATTTAGGTACCAGTATTGGCTGAATTTCAGATTGATTCTTTTTACTTTCCCGACTGCCTAACAGCCCCTGAATAAAGACTGTATTTTATGTAAGTGGTTGAATACCCAGTGACTTAATGATGAGCTTTGACTCAAGCCCTTGCTTGTCTTTAGAACAAATTTTCCATACCAGAGATAGAAAGAGAGTGCCACATCTGTAATTAGATATGCAAGTAATTGTGAAATGTATCAGAAGTGAATATGCAAGTGTTTCAAATTCTTGATACTATGTCTACAAAACTGAAATTCATCCTATCCCATTTTCAATACTTTTTTTTTTTTTTTTTTTTTTTTTTGTAATTGTAATGCTTTAAAACCTAGAACAGTTCTGTAAGTTAGTTTTTTGTCTTCTGTGTAGTTAGTTTGGACATACATTAACAGTGAAATAATGCCTGCATTTTTGAAGATGTACTGACCGTGAGGTTGATTTTTCACCTTTATTTCATATCTAGTGTTTCAAAGCTACAGACTACTACTATATTTCTCTAGGTTTTTTTTTTCTATTTTAAGAGCTATGCACTTACTTCAGACTTCAGAGAAAATGTTTCTTGCATACTATTATGAAAATTGTTTCTTAAACTGAAAAGAGAAACCTTCCTCCAATATTCCTTGCTAGTAGCTTAGAATTCAATCTATCAAATATGAGAAAAAGAAAAACTTATTTCAGCTGTACTTCAGTTTCAGAAAAATGGCCAAATGATTTCTGCAGTTTCTTGTCATAATCTCATTTTGAAAAATTCAGACTCTGAACCATCTGTTCAGCTGTAATTGTCCCGATTGTTAAATTTTTTGTTAAATTGTTTTTCTCCTTCACATAATCATTTATCAAACTCATCAATCAACATTTTCATTTGCCTACAACAAAGTTAACTATCAAAAAAATTATACTATAAAAGGTACCCAAAAATGGAAAATAATTTTGCATATCCTTACCATACAAGAAAATAAATGTATCTGTCTTACAGCTTAAATTGTTTATCTGAAGTGAACATCATTTCATCATATTCAGTAAGTTTTTTCTCCCTTCAAGATGCTAAGCAAACGTCTTGGGGTAGATTACCAACTGTTAATTTAGATCTGTCTAGTTGCTGCTGATCATTAAATTGATGTTTGCATTTTTCTAGATGTGCCATCAAATCCTTATGGAGTACGAGTTTTAGAGTTGTCGCAAACCACTGCCAAGGTTTCATTCACTAAGCCAGATTCACATGGAGGTGTGCCCATTCACCACTACCAAGTGGATGTAAAAGAGGTAGCCTCAGAAACCTGGAAGATTGTTCGCTCCCATGGAGTTCAAAGTAAGTTTACGAAAAATAAATGGAAATATTTTAACTGATAGAATATCAAGGGAAGAGAATCAAATGTGTGTTAATTGATTCTGTGCTTCTCCATTAGTTCTTGCTGTATCTCCACTTAATATGGGGTAGTCAGACCTTTTTGCACCAATTAGAAATCTTGCTCTTATCAATTGTTAAGTTTTAGTTTTAAGTGAGTTACATGAACAAATTTATTTTTTCACTATTTTCAAGTAGAGACAAAGAATATTTGTGAAGCTGTAAATTTCAAAGACAGTAGAAATCACAGAGGAGTTAGTTAGAGAATGCATATTACATACATAATTGAATTAAAATGTTGAGTAAGCTATTATGTGATGTTTTATCTGATTTTATTTTATTTTAATTACTGATTTTGAGCTACTTAGTAACCTTTGTTCATACCTGTCAGTATTCATTATATCTGTTTCTAAAGCATATCTATAAGGTATTGTTCAATTAGTGATGCAAAAATGTATTTGCTAGATACTACATTTATTGACTGTTATACTGGTGCTAAAATGCTAAAAGTCAGTCCAGTTCACTACTGGGTCTGTGCCTTCTTTACACACCTCTAAATGCAGAAAACAGTGTAAACATACAAGAGTTCTTTAAGTACATGCATTTGCAGGGTATTTTGACAGAGTAACATTAACAGGGTCTTAATAGAACAGAAATGCCTTCCATCCATAATTTACACTTTGGCATTTTCAGCAGATAGTGCAAGTCAAAATAGTCCCAACAGTCTTCTGATCCATACAGCAGGAGGTAAATTGTTTTGGAGCTATCACCACATTGAGGGGATCGTAAATGTAGTAAATGATCTAATGTGTCATCCCATCAGCCACGCACATCCAATCAAAAAAATAGAATTGTTTCAAAGAAACATACATGTAATTAACAAATATTCAAAACAACAGGACTTTTTTCTTAACGATATTTGGTAACTATGACAGTTGTACTGGCAGCATTCATTTTAGCTCATTATAATGTGCATTTTTTCAGTACTAGGAGACCAAATGGAGGACAGTAGGTTTCCTCTGATGGCAAGGCATACACATTAATTGATATTGCTGTGCCTCTTTTAGGATTGTTTCAAAATGTTGAAAATTTGAAATGTTGAAATCAATCCAAGTCTTTTTTCTCTTAGCTGTTTTTTTTTCAATGAATTGACAGAAAGTTTCTTTGATGACAACTACAGTCTACCACGTAATAAAACTTGTGGTGACCTGTGTAGTAGGCTGCAGTGTTCTGAAATGAAGACTAGCCAGTGTACCATGCTTAATTTAAATGCAAAATCATAATGACAATGTCTTTAGTGTTAATTTTGTACAACAGTATACTGACCTTAGTCCTCCTGCTTTCCTATTACTGATGTTAATGTGAGATTTGTAAAAAGATTAATTGATTATGTAGAAAAGATGTATAACTTCACAAACTTCTGTTACCAGAGTTAGCTTGTGCTGCTTTCTTCAAAAGTTCACAGCTTTTTGAAATATTCTATCAGCATTACATGTTCCTACAGTTGTTGCCTACAGCTTATTTTGGAGTTTGCTGTATCACGTAAGTTCATCTGCTTGGAATTACTTTAGTACAGTATCTGTACTAAAGTAATTGTACTGCATTGTACTGAAACTTACTTTACAAGTGGGAAGCAGTGTGAAGGATACAAATACCTTCAGTAGTTATGAACACAATACTTATCTGAAGTAGATTTTTACAATCTCTGCCTCCATTCCCGCTGCAATTAAAGACAGCTTAATTGAGAAAAAGACTGTGTTAGTTCCTACATGCTGTCACATTTTCTCTCACATTGTCTTCCTTTTGTGCCATTCATCATACATCCATTTTTTCTCTTTCCTCACCAGTAAGTCTTCAGGGCTTTTATCTTACCTCAAATCAGTGCTTTCATTTTAAGGCCGTTGTCTTCTAACTAGCACTAAGAGTTTTTGTGGAAAAAAAAACCCAACAAAATAAATCACACTGGTTTTGAACATTTTAAAGGTAACTCATTATAGCATGTGTGATTAGAGACTCCTCTAAATGATGACAGAAAACTAGTAATCATAGAAGTGACCTGAAGAATCATCTTCGTCTACAAGAAGTATTTGGTAACAGGAATAGATATTGAGAATGTGAACTTTACTGAGAGAATGGTGGACAATGCTAAAAATTCATCACAGATCCATAATTAATATAACCTGTTTTGAGAAATCTCTTTTTGTATTCTCCTGCACAGATAGATTGAGATTTTATCGTCTATATTTCTCTGTATTTATTTCTGAGCCACTTTAGAGATCAAAAGCTACTTCAGAATTTCAAACATTGGCTAAGCAGGAGACATCTTTTTTTATAAATGCTGTTGATTCTACACCACAGAGTAGCATACAAATAGTACAAAGAAAACAAAAGAGATCAAAAAAGCATTTATCAAAAGTTGTTGAAGATAATTCATGAGTTAAAAATGCTTCTAATGTGTTATACGGACACAGCAGAAAAACAAGATATGTTGCCAAAATGTATGGTTAAGATTCAGATATGAATGCTTTTACACAGGGACAGTTAACTGCTCTCACAACTCAAGTCATGATGCAAACCTAATGCGTGAGTCATGACTGTTTTTCCCAGCAGCCAATGAGAAACCATGCTGCAATTTCACAGGAAGACTTTTTATCAGTCTGATTTGAATCAGGAGTGATAAAACAGCACTGCAGTCCATTCTTTCTACAGTGTAGTCAATGGGTGATTTCCAAGGCTGCATTTTAACAGGGGTAGGTAGAAGATCCTGTATTCTTTAGAAAGTAGTGCCCAAAAGACTGTTATTCTTCCAGTATGGAGATTGTCAAGACTAAACTGGGTCTTCTGGTCCCTTTGTACTGTGACCAGAAGCCGCAATATAGTTGTCTTTGTACAGCCAGAAAGAAAAACCATGAACTGCTAAAATGGATGATGGATGTATTTTAGATGAAACAGACATCTATCTTGACAATGTTGCTGCAGGAGTTAGTTTTTAATTAAAGTGTTACCAAATGATTCATAGATGTTTGAAAAAGTTGTTGAAAGGAATTGCTACTAACACTATCGAGTCATTAATTTTCTCACGATCATTACCTAAAAGCCATGTATAAAGCCTTCTAGAAGTAGGATTATAACTGTTTTTGTTTAGATGAAAAATACTAACCAAAGTTGTTAGACATTCTTATAAGTTCAATCAAGAAAATCGTGTAATACAGAATAAATTCTTCCAATCTGTTCAAACAGCTTGCAGTTTTCTTCATCTGAGATTCATGTTGCCTAACTGTACTAGTTTGTGATATTTTCAGATCAAGTTAAGGAGAGAATTTCAGGGTCCAGGAGCTGTATCTGCTTCCCTGTTCCCTCTCCTTCGTCTTTTATAATGAAGATTTCATTTGAAAGGCTGTGCTGATTACAGCTATTGAATGTGGGTGCAGAAAATGAAGCAGTCATTCTGATACACCAACCTCAGGCTATTTAAGGATTTAAAAGTCATAATCAATACTAGCATAGTTCACCAAGAGATCAGTGGGCAAATGGTAGCCAGATTTTTCTACACTTCTGGAATATCTGTTGAATATGCAAACTTGTTACAAGTGACCTTCAACCTTATGGCCACAGAGCATGGTGGGTCTCCCTGTTGGCCAGTGCTCTGGGGGGTCTAACATGGCCTGAAACTAGGTCCCATCCCAAAGCTCCAGCCTGCAGCAGTACAGCCAGAGACACGTCTTGGAACTGGAAACTTCCCTGAGAACACAGTTCAGCTGACGCTAGACTGGGACATGCGCATGCAGTTGGCCCAGGCTGGGAAGAGGCATGGCCAGGCAGGGCAGGGCTGTGGGGAGCTGGATTGTGGCCCTGCTACAGCTGATCTGGGGCTGAGGTCCCCCAGACTGCCTGGGGCTCTGGACCTGGGCAGGTGGGAGAACCCAATGGCAGGGGGTGGCAATTCCAGATCTGGTGTTTTATTTTTTTAATTTTCTATATCAATAAGAAAGTGTACATGTAGGTAAATCTTACTTCAATCTTTATAATAAAAAAAGCATTCATAACATTTAGAATAGGGTAATACCATCTTCTCTGTTTCTTTTTAGCTTTTATATGTTATTTCCAAGCATACGACTAACGAAAGTGTGATTGTGTGTGTGTGTGTGTGCAGCTTGGGTTTCTGGGTCGAACTACTGAAATTTGTTTTCTGTCTTTTAGCAATGCTTTTTGGTAGTTATCAAACAGATATTGTTTCAGAAGATGTGAAGAGCTTACGATGTATGATTTTCTGCTGAGATTTCAGAAACACAAACAAAAGAATTTTTTTTTTCTTAATGTTAAAATACAGCAATTATGATGTCTTGTTATTGTCCTTGGGGAGGAAATGTAATATATAGGTTAATTATCATTCTCATGTACTACATCTTAGATTGTAGGCTTTGCACTACTTACTTCTTTTATAGTGAAGTATGAAAGTGCATCCAGTTTATTATTGGAACAGTTACTGATAGCATAGCAATGCTTCACCATTAAGCCTGGAAGGCTTTCAGATGGACTCTTGAGAGATATGAAGCCCATATAAATTAATAATTTTATTAATGCATTTAATGAATCTTCAAGACAGTAACATCTATTGCAAGCTGCTGGAGCAGAAGGAAAAAACAAGTTCATTAGCCAGTTGCAGTGGGAGAATGTATTTTTAGGAAGTATTTGTAAAAAAACTTAGAGGATCATTCTCTGTATCAGATAAGATGATATGATTGCTGCCTCTAAGCACATAGGATTTCTTTTCAAAATAAACTGGATATTTGTCTTGATTGAAATTAATATAAACAGTACAAACAAGCTTTGAAAATTATCAGAACTCGAGTGTGTGTGTGTGTGTGTGTGTGTGTGTGTATGTATATATATAAACTAAAATGGAGCAGGATGAAACTACAAATTACACGAATAAAATGGCTTTAATTTTTATAAATGGAAAT